AAGTAAAATTTAATATATATATATATATATATATATATAATTTTATAATAAAAAATACTTTTAAATATAGAATATTATAATTAAAATATATAATAAATAAACATTTTTAAACATATAAATTATGATTTAGATTTATAATAAACTATTTATACTATAAGACAAGGTTAATTTTAATTATTGATCATTTTTTAAATTATTGAAATTTAATATAAAACTAAAAAAGAAAAGAGAGAGATATGAGAAGCTGAGAAAAATTTAAAAACTAATTTTTTAAAAATTAAATCAGCTAAAACGCTTTAATAAAAAAACAATTATTAAAGTAATCTTATACAAAATATCTAATTTAATTTATATATGGAGTATGATTCTTTATAAGTGACTATTATCATTTATTTGATACTCCCTGGATTCTGTGCTCAAGATATGCCATATATTACCAGTTGGATTCAAGAAGTGAGTATCCTTCATTAGGATAAACTATAAAATAAAATACGTAAACTTTTTCATTTCAAGTATACATTACTCATGTCATGCATGATCCACTGGATCACCTCTTTCTTTTTCCTTTTCTTTTTCCAAGTTGTAAGGTCCACTATACCTTTAACAGATAATGGGGATTGGGGACATGGAAATTCCAGACACAGGGTTTAAGTCTACCACTACCTTAAACAGTAAACATATTAATTATTCCTAAATCCTAAATACAGACAATGGCACAAGGCCCTCGCAAACCACGCCCGACAATAGTGGCCACTACAAGATTAAGACGCTTGATCCATATCTTATGTCCACAAATAATGTGTATATTTGAACCTATTATATAATAATAACTGACTAAAAACAATAATTTGACTTAATATAAAAGTAGCAAAACACATGTCACAAAGTAAAAAGAATATGTAACTACATTGATGTAATAAAAAATTAATACGATATTTGAAGATTTATGAATTTTCCTTTGATTCCGTGCATGCAGCAATAATATACATAACGCGCATATCACGTGTCTCTCCACTTGCATTCCCATTACATATAAAAAGGGACAAATTAAATTAATTTTAATACGTGAAAGGAAAGACATTTTTTTTAATATATAATTTTTTTTAAAATTTATTTTCTTAAACAACCCAACCTCCTTTTTATTTATCAAAATGACCCATTGAGAAATCAGTTGAGGGAACCGACTTCTCACCATCAGATTTCAGCTACCCTTCATATATATGTATAAAGCTTGTATGAAAAACCGATTTCTTAAAAGGTTGTTTTATTATTTTTTTCTAATTTTTGTTAAATTTTTTAATCTAAAAATTATTTTAATAAATTTATAATTAAAATTTAATCTACAAATATTAATATTTTTATTAATTTAAATATTTAAATTATATTTAAGAAATATAAAATTTTAATATTTCTAATTAATAAAATAATTAATCATTTTTGGGTAAACTACTTCAAGGGCCTCTCCAACACACTCTTGAATAATTGCAATAGTTTCATGCAAATTCAAAAATATTTCTTTGTAGCCAATATTCTTCATTTGGAGATAACCAACCACCTTATAGTATAGAATAATATCCCTAGTCTTTCAATGAATCCACCATATATCATACGTAGCATGAAGAATTTATGAATCCACCAACAACAACAGCTCCCACAGAGGATTTCATGAGAAATCTTTTTGGCGTCAACGTACACAGACTACAAAATGCATATGATTACATGCAAACCATGAATTTTTCCTCATTTTCTTCTTATCACTCTAAGGTTGATGGAAGTCTTTTGTTGAATCCTCCTACGAATACTGCTTATATAGAACATCATGAGGAGCGAGTTGAACCACAACAACCCACGCATTGGTCGTTGAAACCCAACAAGGAACTGACAACCTCCAAGGTGTGAAACTGGTCCATATAGACTAGGTTCCTATTATGTAATTCAGTAGATTGTGATTCTGTTGTTATTTTTATTTATTTCATCTCCTATTGTTTTGGGATAAATATTTCTAAATTGTTCATCTTAATGAAAGTATTATTTTTTTCCAATGTTTCAAATTAAAGAAAAATAAAAAATTTATTTTTTTATTTTTTTATTTTTTTATTTTTAACAAATAATTTCAAATTATCTATATTTTTTAATAAAAATTAATAAAAAAAATATTGTTGTATACCCATTTAAACATATACTATTTCATAAAATAATATTATTATAAAAATTCAATAATCAAAGTTATTCAAATATCTAAATTTATTACAGAAAAAAATAACTGAATTATTCAAAAATATTAAAATATTTAGATGTTTGACCAAAATTAAAATTATTAAATTCATACAAAATATTAACTTATCTATATTTATTAAATAATTTTAAATATTTAAATTATAAAATGTATTAAACAACTTAATGGGAAAAAGAAAATAAAAACATATACGTATTAAAAAAATTTAAAAAAATATATATTTTTTGTATAAAATATATTAATGTAT